TGAGTATGTTTATAAAGCACTTTGAGATGTATGTATATCGTTCACAGTAGTATAAAGGAATTATACACTTTATCAATAAAACTGTGGTTTATCTTTATTTTATTTACTTATTTATATTTAGAGAGAGAATTTTAATATACCTTCTGGTTAATGGAAAAGTCAGGGTCGTTTTACATGTATAATTGTATTTGAGTACAGAGAACAGCAAGCTTGAATAGGTCTTAATTTCATTTTGACCTCTTGATGGAAAGGAATTACATGTTTGTACTGGAAACTTAACAAGATGAAGCTTTCTGTTATCAAGAAGCTCCGAGTGTCATCAGCCGGGCCAGAAATTTTATCACCAGTGTTCTTATTGTAGGGTTTACATGAATCAGGCCTTTGGGGAAAGGGAACGGAAATCTAAGAGGGGAGGATAACTTGCTGTGTAGTCACTTAGAATTAGTTTGCATTTTATGGACATTGTTCATGTAAGGTTAAAGTGATACACCCAGAGACAAAAATACAGCAACTGAGAGTAAACTGAGGTAAGCAAACTTCAAGATGCAAAGTGTAGTGCTGGGGTTGTTAAGCTTTTTTCATTGAGTGGACCATATGTTAATATGGAAGTGGCTTCATGAACACCCTACTCCTTGCTTTCATAATCATGCAGACTTGCTCTCCTTCAATTCACAATCAGTCCTTTCCCCCACTCATGATCACATAACATCCCTGTGGTAGCTACAGTTTTTTACGTGGAAAAGTAATACACCTCTACCCTGATATAACGCGACCCGATAGAACACGAATTCGGATATAACACGGTAAAGCAGTGCTCCGGGGGGGTGGGGCTGCGCACTCCGGCGGATCAAAGCAAATTCAATATAACGTGGTTTCACCTATAATGCGGTAAGATTTTTTGGCTCCCGGGGTCAGTGTTATATCGAGGTAGAGGTGTACCGCAAAAGTATTTAATGCATTTTTAGCTTCTTTTAATGTGGTTTTAGCACCTGGAAACAAGGATGAGAGTCAGCACTGTGTCTCTACCCCACTGTCCACAGAACACAATTTGAGAATCTCTGATATAACAGATTGTATTTTTCAGGATCTCAGATGGCTATGAATGATAAAATCCCATCGCTGAGGGTCAGCAGTGTGTGTAGATATTAATATTGCAGAATCTCTTTTAATAGACCTCAATGGATCAGATGTAGTACTAAAAATAAAAATTATCTTTACAGAGGCAACGCCACTTGCTTTGCATATGGACAGACTGGTGCTGGCAAGACTTACACTATGATAGGGAGCCACCAGAACCCAGGACTCTATGCACTGGCTGCTAAAGACATCTTTAGACAACTAGAGGCAACCCAGTCAAGGAGAGAGCGCCGTGTATGGATCAGTTTTTATGAGATCTACTGTGGACAGCTTTATGACCTGCTAAATGGAAGGAGAAGGTATTTAAATAAGAGACGCTGCTGTGAAAAAAGGATGATACATCAGTTTGTTATTTCATTATGGAGTTGGATTGAACAGAATTCAATTTTCTAATAAGTGAAATTGGTTTAACTGGAGCTATTTATGGAGTAAGGTATTGCTCAATGTAAGTAAACACAGTAGAATCTGGCCCTAAATTTTGTAGCATCTATAGACACTCCCCCTTTGTGTTATTTCTACAGGAATAAAATAAATCAAAGCAAAGACACACATCTGAGGGATGAGCTCTGTATGAGATACGCTCTGCCAGGCTTCACCCCTCGTGATGAATAGTGACAAGACAGTATCATGTGGCACCGTCACATTAGCTTTTCACCTTTCTTTAGCAAGGTAACCTGAGATTGAACTGGAATTTTACACACTCTAGGAACAGCTGAGGAACACAGAGCAGTTGAAAAGAAGCAGAATGAATTATTGATAGGAGTCCCATAGAAAGGAAAAAAATGCAACCTGCTCCTCAATCTTCTCTCAACCCTGGCAATGCAGTGGGGCCCTGACTCCCCTAAAATGGCGGTTTACTAATCTCTCTTCTGAAGAGGGTGTGACTTGGAGTGTGGGCATTAATAATTCTGTGGCAAAAGTATCTAGGTCAGTACAGTGGCACTAAACCCAAGGAAAATCAAAAGATCTCAAGATGTTCCTCAGATTAAAAAACTTACCTGACTGAAAATATCTAAACACAACAAAGCAAGATAACGTTCTGTCTAAATCCCGCTGAACGATAAAACCATCCTGCCAGGCTTTTAACTTTCATCTGGAACTAGTGGGGCTCTTGAGGGGAGCGCACTTTGAGAGCATGGTGCAATGCTTAGCAAAGAGGCTTTCTTGTGCTTAGGAGAGTCTGTGCCTTATCATGAGGCAAGCATGTTTCTCTGTGTTGTCTCTCCTGCAGCCCTTTTTAAAGGCCTTCTTGATATAGTCCATAGGGCTGTGGAAGTTCCTTTTCCTTGGACGTAAGCCAACCAGTTGGTATTACCAACTATACCATAACATTCACTTCTCTAATTTGTAGCAGAGAGTCACCTGTGTACTCTGATTCTGCAGCTGTCGGATCTGCTGCAGAATCCACCTATTGCCACAGAACTATGTTCCAGAACCTAAGCTGTCATTAAATGAATTTTTGAACCTTCGTGGTTGTGAAGATAACCTTGAAAACATGAATTGAGTATAAGTGATGCAGTGTGATCTTCCTGAGCCTGGAGACAGCCTGAAACAAAAGCTCTCAGAGAGGTGTGAACTCTGAAATCTAAAGATGAAAATTTAAATGCCATCATTAACTATTTGAGTGCTGATCATCTTAGCAGGAACATCCAGCTAATAAACGCTTCCAGTGTCCCTTTAACAGTGAAATTTGAAAAGTACATATTATACATGACAAGTGGTATATTAATGACAACCTGATTTGTAGCCTTGCTAGTCACTCCTTGCAGTACTTCTCTAGAGCAGTGGCTCTCAAACTGTGGGGCGCCCCCCCCGGAGGAACATTCCGGGAGGCACGCGGCAGGGCTGGGGCCAGCCCCCATGGGGGGCAGAGAGGGAGTGCCACACTTCCAGATGCGCGGTAGGGCCGGGGGCAGGGAGGGAGTGCCACGCTTTCAGACTTGCTGCGCCCCCAGTCCAGCACTGCCTCCAATCCTGTTCAGCCCCCAGCCCTTCTCTGCCTCCAGGCCCAGCTCTGCCCTCACTCCCTGTCCGCTCCTAGCCCAGCTCCAGCCGCAGCCCCATTCCCTCTCTGCCCCCAGACCAGCTCTGACACCAGCTGCAGCTCGTCTCCCATTCCCAGTTCTGTCCCCCACCTCCGCCTTCAGCCCAAGCTCCACTGCTGAGAAAGCCTTGGCTATGTAGTCATGGGGGAGGGGGCATGGACAGATTCTGTTACTAGTAAGGTGGGAGCGCGACTGAAAAAGTTTGAGCACCCCTTCTCTATAGCACTGAGATGTAGACAGAATCATTACTACTATATAAGACTTTCTTCAGAATGACCCTTTTCTACTAAGCCCTGTTGTTTCCTCTGCAGACTTTTTGCAAGAGAAGATAGTAAGCATGTTGTACAAATAGTTGGCCTGCGTGAGGTTCAAGTGGATACCGTAGACCTACTATTAGAGGTAATTTGATTGTCAATGGTTATTTTATCTTCTAAAGCCCCTGTTGCACTGACTCATCAAATAGTTTACCATGGAGTGGAGAAGGTCATTTCTGGCATACGCAGGTGTTGCTGCTCCAGGTTGTATAATGTACACATTATGGGGCTCCAAAAGAGCATCAGAACAACTTTGAACAGCTTGGTGGCAGAGCATGAAGGGACACTTTCAAAACTGCCTTTAATGAATGAGCTCATGTGCAGCTCAGACAAGTTACAGTGACGCACATCAAAAGCTGACTTGGAGCGGTCACTGCTACAGCCACACCTCAGGTGGGATCTTTGCCAAGGGGTTGAACGAACCACCCAAGAAATGACAATATTTCAGCAAACAAACCCTGAAATATCTTAGAATATAAAAAAAAGGCTATGTTCGTATTTGCAGAAGAGATGTATGAAATATTTTTGCAATAACCTTATATCACTAAAAAGAGTTCTAAAAGGAAAATGTAAGTAAACTTTACAAACCGGCACGCACTGCATTTGACAAACAAGTCAAGACACGGATGGCTGATCTGAAAAGTTTATAGTCTAAGTTGGACACGGCACAACAAGTGAAGGCAACAAAATGTCAGAAATAGCGAGGAGAGAGGGACAGGATTACATCAATAAGATCATGTGGTTGCTTAGTTTATTTTTCACTTACCTTCATGGTTCCAGGTTTTTCTCCAAAGAGGCCTTCTTTGGCTCCTACAGTTCTTTTGTTTTCTCTCTTCCTTCTGTCTTCTGGGTAGTTTGATGGTTTTTGTGTAAATTGGAAAGTAAATAAAGTTGAATTAGAAATTATAAAATACTTTGGATTCAGCAGAATTATGATGGAGAAACCACGTGGAGTAACGAACTGTGCTGGCTGGCGGCTAACTTTTTTCTTTTGATAAACAGCTGATACTCCGCACAAGCAGCGCTTCAGTCTTCTTACTCCCTTACTCAGCTGAGTAAGACATGGGCACAGTCCAGTTCTCTACTGTGTCCTGTACTGAGCAAGCTGGTCCTGAGTCCAACTGCCATCAGGCTTGGATTTTGTGTAGTTTAATTTTTGCTCAGTAAGGGACTGAAAACTATCTGATAGTGTAGTTGACTTATTGTTTAAGACTGGGGACAATATTGTTCATTTATAAACCACTCGACGGACACTGTCTTCTGGGGTTTTGTTTTTCCATTAACTCTAAACGCCGGATATGCTGGAGACATTTCTGCAAATTTGAGTGCAGATCTGGTATACAGTAGATTAATACATTCCTCTAGATTATCACATCCGGCCCACAGAAGAGTTAGTACATGGTTTTGTTCTCACAGGTATCTTGGCAAAACAGCTCATTTCATATTGTTCATGGGCTCTTTTGAACACAGAAAGAGTCTTTAGACTGATTTGATGCTCTTGAATAGCATGCTACCAAATGTATTAGAAGAGTCTTCAGTGCATGCCTCATGATTATTCATTATTTATGATGCATTGGCCTCTGTTCACAAACTCTCCCTGCATTTAGCTCTGGTTTAACAAATATTCAGGCCCTATAGCAGCCAACTAGATTGCTGATTAAGAGTGGACAGCCAGTCGAAGGCATGAACACTGTATATTTGTATCTAAAGAGTGTCTTGATTTTGCTAGGTTAACATTTTATTGTATTCTTATTGTTCCAGAAACTATAATATAGACTCTATTTTGTTTCCTTGTGATGCCCATTGTTGGTGGGCTCGCTGAAGCAATCTTGTGACTCTTCAGAGATTTGGGACAGAGACTTAACCAGAGTTGAGTATCAGAGGGGTAGCCGTGTTAGTCTGGATCTGTAAAAAGCAACAGAGGGTCCTGTGGCACCTTAAAGACTAACAGATGTATTGGAGCATAAGCTTTGGTGGGTGAATGCCCACTTTGTCAGACGCAGTGGGTATTCGCCCATGAAAGCTTATGCTCCAATACTTCTATTAGTCTATAAGGTGGCACAGGACTCTTCGTTGCCTTTAACCAGAGCTGTAGCCCGGAAGGTCCCTTAACCCATCTTCCACCTCTCGCCTTGTTCTGTTCTTGGTAGTTAAGTCTGAGTGTAATTGATCATGTCAGCCTCGCTGCTTGCTTTGGCAATGTTTCATTTGCTCCTGGGGACAGAGATGGATGAGTGGACTGGCACGTGGTGTCACACTACATTACATGCTGCTTAGATTTCTGGCTGACTAAACCTTTCGATGAGATTAGAACATGGATTTTTAAAAAAACCATCCTGCTCGTGAGTTCTTAACAGTAACCTCTGAAGCCTCATTTTGTTCTTTTCATTTCCACCATACATTTATTCCGCGTGATTTTCTATTGTAGTAATTTAACAAATAGGAATGGAAGTTCAATACACTGACATTCTTACGGACGGTCTCACTTTATAAACCCTTTGTCAGTTGCACTGAACACCAATACGTGGGGTTCTGAATCGATATGCGATATGAATAGTGTGCATGTTTTGTACGTACAATTTACCTTTGTTTTGTCCTGTTTGTTTTCCAGGTAATTTTGAAGGGTGGGAAGGAGCGTAGCACTGGGGCGACTGGAGTCAACTCCGATTCCTCCCGTTCTCATGCTATCATCCAGATTCAGATTAAAGACTCTGCAAACAGAATGTTTGGGAGGTGAGGTTGGAAGCTGACTTATTGAATTTGATAAAGAGATTTCAATTTCATCCTGTTGGCTTTAAATGAGACCATGCACAGCTGCAATGGCAGAACAGCCGTAGATGGTTAGCGAGTGGTAGTGAAGAAGTCAAGTGCAAGGACAGTCAGGATGCAAGCTGTGATTTGAAGGTGTGTTTGCTGAGCTCCTGGGCTGTGTAGAATAGTGACCCAGTACCAGAGGCCCTTACTGAATGGTTGCAGCAGTAAGTGGGTATCCTTCCCACCTAGTCAGAGAAAAGATGGTCAGCTGCTTATTATTGTTTTTTAGATGTCTAAAAATGTGGTAGGCACCTTCCAAACAAGTAAGATACATTCTTTATCCCAAAGAGCTTATTCTAAATGTAAGACAAGAGAGCAAGTCTGAGCAACAACTAATTGGGAGGGTGGAGGAAGAAGGAGGGAGGAAGAGTGCATAAGATTACAAAAAGAAGGATGTATGGTTATATAGGTGTGCCAGGTTTTTAGTTATTGAAGGAGTGACGAATCTGGGAGGGATGCAGGTGATAGGAGAGGATGGGGATATTGTGGAAGAAGAGGAAGAGAGAGGGAGAAATTACAGATCGGTAGAATAGCTAACAGCCAAAGAGGAAAGTTAGGGAAGACTATGAGAACAAATGGAGATCTTGGGGGAAGAAAGACCAGCAGGAACATAGCTCTGAAACCATCTGACAATTCAGTGCAACAGTTACTTCCCTTTAATTTGCTTTATAAACTGCACTGCATTTCTATCTGATTAGGACAGACAACACTCGAATGAAACATCTGTCTTAGCTGGAAGGAGACCCAAAAAGTTATTCTTTTTTAAGTAATCTGTGTTCTCTCTCAAATTACTGGCATTGTGATCATCTAGAGATGAGAACTGAAATAGCTGTTCCATTAAACCGTGGAGCACTCTCATCACAAGTAATTAGACTTCCTGTTATGACTGTTTGTTACAGTGCCAGAATGCTCTGACTCTGTTCCAGTAGCGACTGGTATTTCATTACTGTGATGCCTCTGAGACGCTTGCAGTGGGTATTTCACCCTGTTTCATGGTAGTAATGTTTCATCTTTCTACTGATGGTATCGTGTGTTGCTGCTGTCGGCTTAAAAAAAGAAGCTAAAGTAAAAGCATCTTTTGTTTTTTCTAGGATCTCTTTCATTGACTTGGCTGGCAGCGAGAGGGCAGCTGATGCCAGAGACTCAGACAAACAAACAAAAATGGAAGGAGCAGAAATAAACCAAAGCCTTTTAGCTGTAGGTTACTCACGTTTGTAGGAAAGATTTTTGTAATTGTTCTTTAGGTTGGTTCTTAGACTGACAGTAAACAAGGAAGTAACATGTGGATGGATCCCAGTGGAAAATACACAGTGCTAAATGCTGACAATTAAATTGCTCTCTAGTCATTAATCAGATTAGAAGAAAAAGACTTGGTGAGGAAAAACAACTTTTTAAATATATTCCTACAGCCAGATATAATCATAGCACTGAAAAGTCAGATATTTTATAGTAAGTCCATGCCATATTTTCTATAGTAAATTCAGGTTCTCTTTTTCTGTGAGGCTTAATGCAAGTTTGTGAAAACATTAAGATCCACTACTGAAAGGCCCTCTAGAATTGGAGAGTATTTATTATTATTATGATGATAATCTCAACTCTAATTTTGTGCATATAAACACATTCTAATGTTCCAACCATTTGTTCTGGGGTCACTGTCCATTTAGTATACCACAAAAAACTGTTACAGGACACAGAAATCAGGCAATTTAGATCCAGGGTTCCTACAACAACCTTATCTCCATCCACTTGAGTCATATACGCAGGTAAATATTTTACATTTCACACTGCTGTGTGATTTTTATGTGGTGGAACCTATTGTAATATTTGTGTACAACACCTTTATTTGTTATCAGAATGCAAAATTATGCCTCTGAAAAGTGGGAGGAAAACCATTCCCCGATTGCCTCTGTTCTCATACAGTAGAATCTCAGAGTTACAAACTGACCAGTCAACCACATACCTCATTTGGAACCAGAAGTACACAATCAGGCAGCAGCAGAGACAAAAGAAAGGAAAAAAAGCAAATACAGTGCAGTACTGTGTTAAACATAAACTACTAAAAAGAATAAAAGGAAAGCAGCATTTTCCTTCTCCATAATAAAGTTTCAAAGCTGTGTTAAGTCAATGTTCAGTTGTAAACTTTTGAAAGATCAACCATAATGTTTTGAACAGAGTTACGAACAGTCTCCATTCCCGAGGGGTTCGTAACTCTTAGGTTCCACTGTAATTCCAAAAAATCTGGATGAATTTTTATCATACATTCCAGAAAATTTCCCTTCGGGCCGGGGAAAAAGCATGAGACTTTTCATGCTGAAGGGAAATATTATGAAGACATTTATAAGCTCATTGAAACAAGTGTTTAAGGAGAGAGAGTCAACTTGATATTAGTGAGTTTATGAGTTTAAAGTATTTTCCTGTTAAAAGGAGTAAAGCCCGCTCATGAGTCTCCCTACCAACTTTTGTTGTTTTAGAGTTGAAATTTTTTTTTCACTTCTTGCTGTGTGAATAACCCACACAAATTAGAGGAAATTGACTATGCAAGACAGAATGAAACTGACTAAAGGTGCATTACAAAGTAATTTGTGAATAAATTGAAAAGAGAAACTTTTTCTTCTCTAATCTCCCCTCAAGGTGCGATCACAGGGGTCTACCATTGAACCCTGCCCCAAGCAGAGTTTTTACCCCAAAAAGGGAGAAATACCATAGAATTTTAAGAGTAATTCACCATTGGAACAACTTACCTAGGGTTGTGGCAGATTCTCCATCACTTGAACTCTTTAAATCAAGGTGGATATCTTTTCAAAAGATCTGCTATAGCTCAAACAAGTTTATGGGCTCAGTGCAAAAATTATTGGATGAGGTTCTCTGGCCTATGTTGTTAGTAGTTCAGACTAGATGATCATAATGGTCACTTTGGGCTTTAAAATCTATGACATTCACTAGAGACTTTGTTGCTATTGATTTCATGTGGAAGGTGCTCAGATACTTATTATGGTCAGCAGTATAAAACCCTAAAATGGAGAGAGAATCTCTTTCAGTTAGAGTCCTCTTAGGTATAATTTCTAACAATAATTAAAATACATTCAGAAAAAAATGTGATTTGAAGTGGATGGTGTCTCATTAAGAATGCAAAGTCTGTCTCAAGCTAGAGTTACTACCACAGTGCTGTAATCTAGCTCAAGATATTTTCTCCTCTCACTGCTAGTACTCTACTCTCACTAGTAATGGCTTGCCTCAATGAGCCCACAGTCCATTTCCTCCACCGTAGAAAGTATCAGAGTCTGCTATGGATTGTGACACACTTCTACTTGTGCTGGTGAAGACACATGGTAAAAAGAGAGGGACATTTGAAAATGTCAGTCTTTTAATAGGCACCGAATAAATCAAGAGGCAGATGTTTCTCCAAGATAACGTGCTGTTCTTGCCGATAATTATTAACAAGATAACGTGCTGTTCTTGCTGATAATTATTAACAAGAAAATAGATCATGGGTATCCCTTTCAGGAAGGTACACTTGCATTTAGCTGCTCAAGTCCCATTAATCTTAATGGGAGTTCTATAGCTAAACCCCCACTCTCTGTGTTGAAAGTGTAGCCCTGATGTTTTGTGTGTGTTCATTATTAATCTGTCAAAGGGACTCTTTTGTTATGGGATGGTGAAATAGTCACTCAAGCTTTAAGACTGCAAGTGTTATTGTGCACATGTTTAACTGTGGGTCTCCAGAAGCTGGCAGCCTTCCCCACTCCTTAGTGTAAGGACGCGTAGTCTAAGGGTATGTCTTCACTACCCGCCGTATCGGTGGGTAGCAATCGATTTATCCGGGATCGATATATCGCGTCTCGTTAAGACATGATATATCGATCCCCGAACGCGCTCACCGTCGACTCCGGAACTCCACCAGAGCGAGCGGCGGTAGCGCAGTCGACGGGGGAGCCGCGGCCGTCGATCCCGCGCCATGTGGACCCCAGGTAATTCGATCCAAGATACTTTGACTTCAGCTACGCTATTCGCGTAGCTGAAGTTGAGTACCTTGGATCGATCTCTCACCCCCCCCCCCCAGTGTAGACCAGCCCTAAGGATATAAGGGTGATAGGCACTATTGCCAGATAGGGGAAATAGTGACCTCATAGTTTTGGGTGCAGGTTCAATCTCTCCTTTTTGTTGCGTGACTGATACATTTTGTTCTCTCTCTCCTTTTTAGTTAAAGGAATGTATTCGGGCTCTGGATCAGGAACATGCTCATACTCCTTTCCGGCAAAGCAAATTAACTCAGGTAAAACCAAAACCAAAGCCAGTGATTGACACTGCACTGAACAGAGTTGAAATGATAGTAATAAAATGAAACAAGCTGTAATTTGGTGACTGTATATTGCAGGGGTCGGCAACCTTTCATAAGTGATGTGCCAAGTCTTCATTTATTCACTCTAATTTAAGGTTTTGCGTGCCAGTAATACATTTTAACATTTTTAGAAGGTCTCTTTCTATAAGTCTATAATATAGAACTGAACTATTGTTGTACATAAAGTAAATAAGGTTTTTTAAATATTTAAGAAACTTCATTTAAAATTAAATTAAAATGCAGAGCCCCCCGGACCAGTGGCCAGGACCCGGGCAGTGTGAGTGCCACTGAAAATCAGCTTGCGTGCTGCCTTTGGCACGCGTGCCATAGATTGCCTATCCCTGGTATATTGTTAACCCCTTGGAGACTGAACACTTGCATAGCTTCCCAAGCATGCATTCTGATCATAGAGGAAACATCAGCATTCATAGCAGGGCTTTGGAGCTGTGCTCTGGCTCCGCTCCAGCTCCAGGCAAAAACCTGCAACTCCACTGCTCCGGAGCTGCTCCACGCTCCAGCTCCAGGCTCTGCTCCAAAGCCCTGATTCATAGGGTTAATGCCAGTTACTCCCCGGGGAATGATGTGGTGGAGAGTTCACTAAACTCCAGGATAACATTATTTTATTCCTGTGTGAAGTTCTATATGGAGAATCTTGTAGGCCAATTGTTCTGAGATGTTCATATGGTGGACAACCACTTAAAGAGAGAGTCTTGTGATTACATTCTTTGTGGTACTATCATGCAAGCTTTAATTAGTATTGGGTTACTCTAATTATAACATATGCTTTATTCTCCCAAACACACCACCACTTTTGGGGTGCCCAGTAAGAAAATGGGCTTGTTTAAAGGACAGATTCAACACTTGAATTCATTTTAAATCTTACATGAAAAATCGCAACAGAGTCAAGTTGTTTAGGTGGGAGAAGAGAGGAACACTTGGTTCTAAACTGTAAACTGGATTGTTTAAAATAAATACACTAGTTGCTAAGAATCTTAAGCTATATTTTCCCTCCTCCTCCAAGGTACTAAAAGATTCTTTCATTGGAAATTCTAAGACGTGTATGATAGCTAATGTGTCACCTAGCCACATAGCTACGGAACACACCCTGAACACGTTACGATATGCTGACAGGTAGGTGACTTAAATTTTCCATGTTGAGAGTCAAAAAGGTTTGTAATGGTTTGGGATGAAAATATTTAGATTGCATCAACTGGTGAGTTCATAGGGCAAAGAGCAAAAAATGCAACTTACAGTGCACAAACAGTCTTCATCTGCTACACTATTATATTGGGGCACTTAATTCTCTGGGTCTTTTAAATTCTTCTTTCAGATGATACATAATTTAGGTCCTAACAGCTTGTACTGATTCAAATCTCATGGTACTCCTCATAACATAACCCCAACCTCCTTGACAAACTCTAGTGTTATTTGTATTATGGTACTTCCCAGAATATGTTAAATGCTGTCCATACCCAGAGGAAGATGGATTGTGAACTCTTCAGGGCAAGGACTCAGAACAAAAGCAACACAGAAAAGGGTGGAGGAGAAAGATAAAAAATACAATCAAAAATGTTCTTGAGATCAGCTTGCACCAAAAGCCATGTTGTTAGTTCATTAATTTCCTATAGACATCAAGATGGACGTGGGTCTTGAGGAGGGATTTGGAGGAGAGGAGAAGTAGATACAATTTCCTTCAGTTTAAACTGGTCAGAGGTATTCTTCACTTCCTAATTTAAACTGTTGTGTACTGTTATTGTTCCCTATTGAAACAGCTGCTGCAAACCTCCATAGAAGTAACTGCATTTCTGTAGCAGATGATCTGATGCCTCCATGGATTAGCCAATGATTAAAATCCAAATTGTGACATTGAAGTCAATATTTAATGTACCAAAGTATTAGTTTGCTCTAATGAGATTGTAAATTACCCCTCTACCTCGATATAACGCTGTCCTCGGGAGCCAAAAAATCTTACCACATTATAGGTGAAACCACGTTATATCGAACTTGCTTTGATCCACCGGAGTGCACAGCCCCGCCCGCCCCGGAGCACTGCTTTACCGCGTTTATATCCGAATTTGTGTTCTATTGGGTCGCATTATATCGAGGCAGAGGTGTATTTGAAAGCATTTAATTTTTCTAATGCACAATCCTTATTTACAGGGTAAAAGAACTGAAGAAAGGGATTAAATGTTGTACCCCTGTCACAAACAGACGTCGGATAGCTGGAAATGTATCTCCAAAACGTATCCAAAACTCTCCTTCCACGCATGTGGGAGATAAGAGCTCTCCAAAGAAAGTAAAACTAGGACTCCATCATCCTTTAAGTTCTTTGAGAATAAAGGCATCCCCTTCAGTGTTCCATCCAACCAATGTCCCTTTTTCCTCTACCCCAAAAGGAGCCAAGGGTCATGCCCACAAAGGAAATCCGAGCTCACCCTGGCTCAATCACACCAGTCCCATTAAAGGAATGCTAAAGATAGGGCATCATCCCATGAAGAAAAAGATTGACGATCTGACACTGCCATCTGAGAAGCATCATACTGCAAAAGATTGTGTGGCCGCTACAGCTGCAGTCCCAGAGACAAGAGAGAGTGGGCAAGGAGATCATTGTATTCGAGATAAACAGCTTGTCAGATGCCTGAAAGTACAGACCGTGCAACCTGTACAAAAACAGCTCATTTCCAGAAACGGCTTTTCCTTTGGAGATGGAAATCCCCCATCAGACAGCAGTCAGCGCTCTGCAAATGTTTTCACCAAACAGTGCATTGAAACCTGGGCAAATCTCCCTCCACATCAGAAAGAAAGGGAACAACATTTGCGCCTTTACCACCAGCAGTTTCAGCAGCCACCTATTCTACAGCAGAAGTTGAACTATCAACCACTTGAGAGGTTTTTAGCCCAATACAAGCCCCAGGAAATTAGAGTTAAACAAGACCGGAGCCTTCCTGCCACGGACTCCCAATGCAAAGAGGGGATGCTGCTGGAAGACCTGGACGACAGTGATTTTAGTGAAGACTCTTTCTCACCTATATCCAACCAAAGGAAAGTTAAAAGAAACACCAGTGAGAGCAGCCAACTTTCATTTTTCCTTCATCAGAGAGAACAAGAAAGTGAGGAGGAGAAAGGCCGAGAGAGACAGGGTTTATTTTTCGAACATGCAACACATACACAAGAGCATGAACTTAATGACAGCTGGGACTATGGGAAGGGCTTTGCATTTCCAGAACCGGGGGAGCCCATTATAGATGGAGAAAGTAGCAAGACTCAGTCTGACTGGAGCACAGAGGATGACTTCACTATTGATTCTTCTGTGAACAATAATACTGCAGAAAAACCTTATTGCTTGCGGGAAGAACTTGTCAGTACCTGGAAAAACAGCAAAGATTTACCCCCTGATCACAAACAATACAAATCCGAATACAGACATCTAGTTTATCCCGGTGAAAGCTCCTCATTCCCAGAAAAGGGGACACAAAGTTCACATGTTCCCCACGTACTGGATTCAGGGACTACAAAATGCAACAAGAGCAGTCTTCCACGTGCACAAAGGGAAGAATCCATCAAAGACGGACAAGCTCCAGTTGCAGGAAACTTAGAAGGGAAGAAACTAAAAAATGGAACTAGCCCCTGTGGAGCTTTTAATACTTCATCAGAATTCACTTCTGAGCTGATGGCCCCTCTGACAATGTCTCTCCTTGACAGTGAGGAGGCAGCTGATCAAGAGAACATCCTTTCTGATCAGGAAAAGGCTCTCCAAGTGAAACAGATGTTGAAAAGAAAAACCTGTAGCCCCAGCAAAAGATTAGAGGGAGAGGCCAGGCAGTTTCCTAGAAATAAAGCCTCACCAACGGGCAGCATGCCAGAGCTGGGTGAACAAATGTACCACGGTGAAAAGAAGTCCACTCTGCAGCACTCCCCACAAACTGAGAACAAGCGGCTCTCCCAGTCCTGTCGTGATGCAAAGCCTTCTTGTAGCCTTGGAGGTTCATCTCCATGGAACACCCATCAGAGTTCTATTAATGGTTTATCTGTCCGAGATGAAGACTTGACAGAAGCATCAGCATCCGTGAGAGTCAAAAACCCTTGTGGAGAGAATGAAGATGAATTGTTGCTTCGTAACTTAAAGTGCAGAGAATACCTGGATAACAGCAGGCAGTATGATGCTGATACTGAGAATACCACTGGTAGCCTGTTGAGCGGCCCAGAAAAATCTAGCATGGGTAAAGGACCCAATGCTGGGCCCACGTCTCAGACTGTACATGCTGATTTGCCTGAAAAGGGTTATTTTTCATGTGCACCATCCATTCTGAATGCAGGAAGAGTGGAGTGTACAACTTCATCCCCCTCCAGAGAAAGCAGCCCACCGCAGTCCAGATCAGAATTCAGGAGCAAGGACTTGAACCATGCTGAAGATACATTCAAGTTGTCATTCAGTGGTGAGGAAATAGGGCTGCTTAAGAATAAACTGATGCAAAGTATTTTTACACAAGACTGTTTTGATGCTGCAGAACAGGATTCAAGCTCCGTTACCAAAGAGATCAGATCATTAGCAAATCAAAACACTCGCCCAAATCCATCCATCATTAGCGCCCAGATTGATACGTCAGAAACATCAAACCGGCACAGAGAAGCCCTGGGAAAGGCACAGTAAGTTTGTATCTACTACACTATCTTCTGTTGTGTGAACTAGAGACACTGAACAAACACATTGTACGTTTGCTTAAATGTTTTATATAGTGCTATGTGTACTATACAAACACACACACACACGAGCACACTTGTTTGGAGTCCGATATATAGAGAAGTTGTTAGATAACTACTGCATCCCTACAGAAACAAATATGAAACAGCCACTCCAGTTAACCGGATAGTGAAATCAGACACCTACAGTCAAGTTAGTAAAAGCGAGACCTGGAGCGGGCAAACTTTTTGGCCTGAGGGCCACATGGGGTTTCTGAAATTGTATGGAGGTCTGGTTAAGGGAGGCTGTACCTCCCCAAACAGCCAGGCATGGCCCGGCCCCCTCATACCTCCCCCCCCCCCCCCGGGACCCCTGCCCCATCCACCACCCCCAGACCCCCACTGCCCCATCCAACCCCCCTCTCATTCCTGACTGAACCCCTGCCCTATCCAACCACCCCTTCTCCCTGACTGCCCCCAGAACCCCTGCCCGACTACCCCCCGCAGCTGCATCCAACCCCCCCTCTCCTTCCTGTCTGCCCCCCCGGGACTCCTCCCCCCATTCAACCCCCCTGTTCCCTGCCCTCTGACCGCCCCGACCCCTATCCACACCCCCACCCCCTGACCACCACCCCGAACTCCCCTGCCCTCCAT